CCTAAGTATTAATCAACCTACAGCTGTAAAATTTTATAGGATGAACAGCTATTTCCCATGTCTTACAAATGCTTCATCCTTACTTAAAAAAAACACGACACTTTCGGGCATATAATGCTCCGCCTAGCGGTGCTCTTGTTTGATTTGCCGTGGAATATTTTTTTTTGTTTTATTTTATTTTTCTATTTTTCTCTTCATTTCAAAGAAATATCAAATGGACAATAATATTGATATAAATTTTTTTTTCGTTATTTACCTGTGCAATTATATTTCCATATATTTAGATAATATTTCAAATATCGATTGTCTACCACAATTGGTCATAAGAGTATATAACGCGGTTATAAATTCCCTGTACCAACGTTTGAGATCACTCTCCCCTTTTCCTAATATATGTCCTATTCCTGTTCTGTGTCAAAATTGGTGCTTTTCCTCTGTAGCAGGGTATTTTGAATGTTGGGGACTTATTACGTAGGTAAGCGTTGCTCTCCCTTGTACCCTACATTTAAATGTTTTGCTGATATCGCAATCATTGGTATTTTCTGAAAATGTTACTGTCTCCCCCACGCCACAAACAAATGTAATTTACGTTACTTGAACAATTAATTTTAGTTCCATTCCTTTTCTTTCAAAAAAGGTAAACGTTTACAAATTTATGTCTGAAAACTTTGATTGATGATATTATATTTCCACATTTGCATGATATAAGTAAAGAAAAATATCTAAAATACTGATAGTAATATCTAAAATAGATTCGAACACGAAATGTTTATACATGTGAAAAGAATCGCCGGTCAAAGTCAAAAAGTCAATAACGCGGGTTTTATATCGTAAAATTATTCATACATTATTCATTAAATATTTTTTATTCTAAAATAAATTAAAATATAATACAATGCAACACTGATTATACGCTAGATATCACTGAGCAACTATCATTTGTATTTGATATTTTACTTATAAGATTTCACAATAAGATCAGAAGTGACCGAATAAATCCTCGTCACACGAAATTCTTTGAAAGGAAGAAACTAAATGTTACGGACTTGGAGGTATCATGTTATATAATTTAAAGAAACTTTATACAAAAAATATACAAAGGTTATCTATAACTTCTACAAGCATTTATTCAGAAATTGATATTTTATTTGCTGAATGAATTAAAATAGTTTCGTCTGCTTCTCATTGTTTTAAAAAAGTGAAAAGGGAAGTTAAATTTAAATCGTTTGTTGCTGACAACTTCGATTATCAACATAATTACAGCCATCACTTAAACGTAATTAAAACATGGAAAATATAATAAAGCATGTTAATTGACAAAATATATTATTATAAAGAGATTGTACTTTATAACAAAAATTGCAAAAGAAGTTGTTTATTCCAGTTTCGGTGTCATTTCCACTGAAAAAGATTGGGCTTGAAATCAAAATCAGTTCTATGTAGAATTAAGTTTACGACTGACTACCTTTGCTTAATGGTCCTTACTTTCAACGCCGTTGACTTATATTACATATTCACTTTTGAATATTGCATCGTTTGTGCGTTAAAGGAATTATCCATGGTTGTATTGGTTTTTTTCTTTTCTTTTTATTGGTTATCTCATAGGCGAGTTTTTTGTTTTCATAACAAAAACCTTGGCATTTAGGAGTAACATATAATACAAAGTACTCTTCATCTAAAAGATGTTATCTGATCCATTCGTTAGGTCATAGAGGTTTTACAGTTTCTTTTGATAATATTCATTCTTTATGTATGTTTAGCGGCTTTTAAGTTATTCTGTAAATTGTTAGTTTTGTTATGGTCTGTATATTGTATGTTTAGGAAAACTCTTTTTCATACATTTTCTTTCCATTTCCTTTTTTTACTGTGTAAAGTTATAAATATCACTTTTGTCAAAAGCGTTTAGTATTTAAAGTTGCTTTTCGCATTAAAGAGTTAATTCCAAATAAACAGAGGAAACTCTGATTTATTGCAAATCCATTTACTATTATATCTTCCATATACTAATGTACCCTGTATGATTTACTATGTCTTTTATTATTTTCTGTATCCTACTGGTTAACTGATAATCAACTGTTATGCCATGTACCACATTGTGCACTAATCACAATGCTTGTAAACAATTTTGATACAACTTTGAATTCTAACTTAACATATCTCTTTCTAGTTTACCTTATTTCTAATACTTCAAAAACCTTCTTATATTTTACATATAAATCACTGACATAAACTTCTTTATCACGTTTTATAGAGTTCCCAGCAAATCTGACTCTCTAATAATAAAACTTATTTCCAGATTGTTCAAAACAACACAATGTAACAATTCAAATATTATGATCGTCAATTATTATCAATTATTTGAGAGACTACAATTTGACTTCGAATAATCGATGAATTCGAATTTTCATATCCGATAAGTGGTAAACGGCCACTATTTTGACCATAACATTAAATATAGCATCATATTTATTGTTGTTTATAACACATATGTAACATGAATTCAACGGCCAAATAATAACAAAAAACAACAACAACAACAACAACAAAACGAGAAATATGTCGAAATAAATATTTAATTGCCATCAAAGACATACCTACAATGCATTTAATTCCGCATAACGTAGAATGTAAAAAAATCTAACACTTTGCTGTCAATATCAATGATAAAATGCAACACCATAGTTTCCAATTTTAATTGAAAACTATTGATTTGAAAACTCGAAACCGTATTCGAAATTGTATAATAGGGACCAAAATTCAAAATACGAACCCACACATTTTACCGAGTCAGCAAATGTTTTAGATCTTTTTCTTGTTTCTTGCAGTCACCAAGTAATAACATCATGTGTTGGGGAATCAGCTTTAGACCAAAATATTTGCTACCATTGCCCTATTTTTGCTCTCTGTTTTTTCCTTTTCTAGACCTAAATCAGGACCTTTCAAGTGTTTTATATGCCTATATGATCATAGCAAGTACCACACTCTAAAACAAAGTATTATGCAAACTGACTGGGATCAATATACAAACACCGACATAGAAATAAGGAATAGCATCTTGTACGAAACCTCGTCCGTAATCAAATACCGACTCTGTTCTCTTTTTAATCATTCACTCCGATCTTGTAAGATTCCTCAAACTTGGAAAGATGCCAACATTTGCCAAATTTATAAGAAAGAAGATCCATCGTTACCCAGCAATTATCGTTCCATATCACTCTTGTGTTGTATGGAAAACGTTTTTGAACGCATAATTTTAGGTATATTCATAATTTTCTCCATGTCAATGACTTTATATCTCCCCTTCAATCTGGTCACTGAAAATCTGTGACTGGTTATGTATCTTTGAAATATATTCTTGTAAACTAACTACTTTTATTATCACATGAAATATCAGCGATAACGTCATTGCATACGTACCAAAATAATAGTACATTATGAGTAAAAAAGTTCATCAAATAAACACAAAAAAGGTGTCATTCAGCTTCGTTTTCTGTTGCACTGAACGTGCTTGCACTTCCTATCAAATAAAATCTACGGACGCAAGTTTGTCGTGTCACATATTTCAGTCGGTTATTTCGTGTTTGTTTCTCTGGACACATATTCAGTTATTAATAACTTTTTTGTTCAAAGTAATTCATTTGTCATATCAAAATTACAAGTAAAGACAGTATTTGTTATATATGTATGGAAATTAAAATATTTCTACTTTTTATATACACGAGGTTTCATAAAATCGTTTAATATTCACATCATTCTGGTTTGTAAGTCAGGATTTACAAGCATATATGCAAAGCTACTTATATCTTCTCAGTTTATTTCAGATGAATTCAAAGAACAAAATTAATGCTACATGTTTTTTGAAACGTTAGGGGTCAATTGATTTACCATTATTTTACTGCTCATGACAGTTATCTAACATTCTAAAAATAACAACATGTTTGGGGTATTAATGGATTTATCTTATTTGGATTGGTTAGAATCGGAATAAGAGTAGAACTTTTCGAAAACAGTCTTATGAATAAAATATCTGCGTTAAATGTCATGAACATAGGAAATATATCTCATTAAAAATATATGAATATTTCAAAAGGGTGTACAACGAGTGAAGAATGTAGAAGTCTAGCTTTAAAGTGAGGCATATTTCGAGTACATTAGAATAACCAAAAACGATGTCTTGTACAGCAGTGCTGACTTTTTTGTTAGGCCAAGGTTACCAAACAAAAATTGGCACACAACGTTTTGCGTTGAATTTGCAATACTTATTAGGTTAAAAAACGGCACCCTTAGTTAGATATTTCACTTTGTTTCAATAATATGATATAACATATATCGCATATATTGAAAAAAACTAAAACAGGCTTTCCTTAGGGTTTACAATTTGATTATACTAGCAGGAGTTAAAGTGTAATTGTTTTCATTATGTCTCGAGATCACATTTAGATAATTCCAAACAATGATATATTAAACGTGTAGCAAATTAATATATGTCGCTTTGAAAAATCTAACTTAAAGAAATTGATAACACTGTAAAATAAACTTTAGATCCTTGTGTTGAAACAGTTCAAAATCGAAAAGTTACACTTTGTTTCTGAAATTGTGTTTGAATATTTAAACTGTTTACTAAAAATACCGACATACTACTACAGAGTATACTAAAATAATAGAATATTTCTTTATATTCACTAAAACATGAAAATTTAATATATATATTAAAATCTTCCGCCGAATTCTGTAGTGTTTTCGATCGACTGTTTCAACAATCAAGGAACTGTAAATTGTTATACCTGAATTAAATAAAATAGTATATCAATCCATCTTAGAAATAATATACCATAATGACATATATATTTACGAAGTTGAACGTCTTGTCTTTTGTATCTGTTGATTATTAAAACCAATGATTTAAGACTTCAATAAAAATACATCCTTAGTCTGTAAACAACAAAATGTACTGAAGTTTAAAATCTCCTATTTTCGATTAGAAGCCTTTTCTTTTTCAGTGACTACAATGGCAGGTTCCGCATTGCTTGTGGTTGCATTTGACTTTGGCACAACATACAGTGGCTACGCTTTTTCGTTGCGGGACAAACCGTTAAACGTACAGACTAATCAAGGATGGATCGCTGGAAGTGATCAGCTTATTTCTTTGAAAACACCAACATGTGTCCTTCTCGATCCAAATGGGCAGTTCGACTCGTTTGGATATGAAGCAGAAAATCACTTTGCTACCCTTGCCGAAGATAATGAGCACATAGGCTGGCGTTTGTTTCGTAGATTTAAAATGATTCTTCACAAGAATGAGGTTTTTCTTTTGGCAAATTACGTTAGACTTAAATTACACTATGATATAAGTTTTATATATTTAAAATCGAGGTAAACTTATATGGAGCTTTTGTCTTTTTTACAACTTGATTTCCATTTAAATATCTTTTTACAACATATGTAAACAACTTTACCTTTATCACCGAAACATCTAAGTAAACGAAAATATGATTTTATAAATTTTGCGTGTGATTTTATGTCCAATCGTAATAACGACAAACACAATGAATACAATATATGTCCATACATTTCAATATGAATGTATATACTTTGTTTTTATATGTTAAAAGAGTTTTATTATTAAATTTTTAATTTGATTTTTCAGTAATAATGTTTCCATTCATTTTATAGAATTTCAAATGCCTTTGGTCATTTCTAAAATTGTGTATGGTCAAAGCGTACGGTTTAAACCATAACATAATATGTCATGTCAATTTTATATACAATTATCAATATGTGTAACAAAAATATCTTAGAATCATCAATGAGGAATGAACTCTAAAAAGCGACAATATTGTCAAGGACTTAAATTCCATGTTACACAAATGCTGTTCTTTTTTGTTTCCATGTGTTAATTTTTGTTTAACCACTCTTTAAATAGTATTTTTGAACGATTAGACTGAAGGACATGCATTCTTTCAGAATGTTATTTCTTATCTATTTTCATTACAACATAGTAAAGATGTACACGTATAACATTGATATAGAATGATCCCTGTTGTTGCTTTAATAACCTAAGGTTATCCCAAATCATCATTCCTGTTTCGGTGCCATAAAACCTGAATTGGCTGGTGCGCCGCAAAACCAAACCATCCAATCCATTTGATACATATACGAATTTGTATATCAACACAAAATAAAAACTCTTATTGAACGTCGTAATAGTGTCCACATTAACATCTAAATACAGTAAAATGAATTATAAATATATAATAATGAAGACGATCATAATGATTAAATGACAATCATAAACATTTCAGTTATAATAAGGTAATTGTTTATGTATACAGGATCTATCAAGATCGACTACCGTTGAAGACATAAACGGAAGATCAATGCAAGCAATGACAATCTTTACAATGTCAATAAAGTATCTGAAACAACATTTCACTACGACGATCAACAAACAAAAGACCGGGATAGTTGACACAGACATACAGTATGTTTTAACTGTACCTGCCATATGGAATGATAATGCAAAGCAGTTCATGCGCGAAGCAGCAGAAAAGGTAAATCACGTTGTTTAAATACAATGGAAACATTTAAGGTATTCTGCTTTTCATCTAGCTGGTGACCTTTCAAGTGATTGGTTCAATGTCCATCAAACAATCGATAAAGCGTAGTTTTTTTAAGTCTTTCCTTTACCTAAACTTATTTAATTTTCTTAAACAATTTCGTTTAAATGATATTATGAGCGGAAAAGGGAACACAAATATTCAATAAAATGTTATGTGATTTTTGTATGTTGATATAAATTAAAAAAGGAAATGAATCAATATTAAAAATGAGCTTTGGCTGACTTATGTATCGGCCCTTGAAATAGTCTGAAATATTAAATACCAAAAGAAAAATCACGAAAACATGTCCGTTGATGCCCATTCATTCGCTTTAAATGTTCTTTATCATTATACTGCCTTCATTCTTCTTATATGTAACTAAGTATACTCATTTAAATGTTTGGAATAATATCGAGTTGGCTTTTATTAAAAGGCTGGCATAGAAAAGGCACGTCTAAAACTATCTTATGAACCAGAAGCAGCATCTATTTGGTGTCAGACAATTACTACAGATGTACAGGAGACATGGTCTAAAGTAGGGAGACAATACATGGTGATCGATCTCGGAGGTTGGTGAAATATTTCAGAACAAACTTATGAATTTTACCACATTATCGGCTATTAGTACTAAAGGAATTATCGGAAACAATCATTGTAACATTTTGTTCGATTGCTATATCATTTTGGTTTTGTTTCAATTTCATCATTTAGTTTAGGTGGTACATGAGACATACCAGAACTTAGAAACATAGGTCACAAGAGGAGTGATTGGTACCTCAAGTAATTGCAAAAACTTAACGGGTTTCTGGTTGAATGATGTTTGCTGTTATATTGCCCTTGAACAAAAAATCCTTTAGGTCCATTAATGATTTTTGTATCGTCTGCTACATAGTAACTGCTGCACGTAACAAAGTAGCCACGTCTTACTGGGGTCACTGTTTTCGTCGTCTCACAATATGTCTATCTGTCTGCCTGACCGTGTATATGTCTGCATGTGTGTCTATCACAAAACTTGTCCTCTAAAACTATTAATCGAATTTAATTAAAACTTTACATAAATGATCAGATTTAAGGTTTATTGTGCACATTGTTAGCAACTTCCAATTAAATACTTTTTATCAGAGCCATGGCCCTTTGATTATTCTTCTATTTTAGGTTTGTCCTCTGATACTACTTAATATGAATAAAATGTAACAGGATTGATCTGTACCTGAAGTATTTGTGGATATTTAACAAGTATTTCGGTCGAAAGAGTTTTAACCCTTGCATAAAGGAAGCGTTCTGTCTTGTTAACTATTTTTCCCGATCTACTTTGCAATGGCTGCAACAACACAGCTGCACCATTGGCTATCACCAGGCGATAATGCTATCCCTGATTGCTCTTGTTTTATTAAAACATAACATATTTAATTCATTAGCTTATGAATGTTATTTCCAGGAGGTACTGCAGATATATCAGTACATGAGAAACAAATCGATGAAACATTAAAGGAACTCCATAAAGCAAGTGGTGGTCCATGGGGAGGAATAATTGTTGACAACAACTATTTAGAATGGCTGACCAAGATATTCGGGAATACCACAATGCAAAAATTTACAAGTAAGCAAATGGAAGACTACTTTCAAATGCTTAGGGATTTCGAAATAAAAAAGCGTTCTGTCACTCCCGAATTAAAGGGGAAATTTACATTTAGACTGTTTTCATCAATAAAAGAGCTTTATCAGGAGAGTAACATGCCTCCATTAGGGAAAAGAGTTGCCGATCTTGGATTGTCCGGAATGGTTACATTTTCTAGCGACAAATTGAGAGTTGATGTTTCTGTAGTTAAACAATGGTTTGAAACTCCTATCAATAGCGTGATTGAGCATGTACAACATATTCTTGCAAAACAGAATATGCAAACAGTCGAAACAGTTCTTTTAGTTGGTGGATTTGGCGAGTGTAAATTAGTCCAAGACCTGATACAGAGAGAATTAAAGTCCAAGAAAATCATTATCCCAGAAGAGGCAGGTCTTGTCGTTCTCAAAGGTGCAGTGCGGTTTGGACATTATCAGGATACTGTACGTTCAAGAATAATGACCCACACTTACGGGATGGCTACCTTTCAAAATTTTGATGAGCAAAAACATAAAAATGCAGAAGTAAAATTCATAAATGGTAAGAAAAAGGCTTGCAATGTCCTAAGAACAATTATACAGGCTGGAGAAGAGGTTAATATTGGAAAATGTGTATCTAAAGGTCCATACACACCAACCGACCCTGACGAAACGACAATTTGTGTATACTGTACAGAAGAAATGTATCCCGAATATTCAACAGATGTGGGTTGCAAACACATTGGTACACTAAAAGTTGCACATGCAAATGGTTTATCGAAAGACGATAATAGTCTGCAGGCTTCCTTCATATTTGGTGATACCGAACTGCTTGTGAAAGCTGTAAATATCAAAACGAAGGAAGAATTTTCAACGTATATGGACTGTCTGTAAACAGTAGAACATCTGCAGCCTGATATTCTACAATAGAGAAATACTTGATTGTGCAGACGTTATTTGAGTGCAAATACTGGAAGGTTTGACTTCAAGATCTCCTTTGAAGTTATCAACAAAGTAATCTATTATTAAGACTGTAATGAAGAATGAAGTAAATGGTCTATAGTAAGAAATATTACAATTATAAATTAAATATATTTATATGATTTATGATTTTGATACTTTGGTTCATGTCAAATTATTTTCTTAATATATGATGGTATAAAAAACACTTTTTCAAAAAGCTATAATAGCTGTACATTTTATGAATTAGGGCATACCTATCACTTTTAATAACACCAATTTGAAATATTTTGAAGAGTTGCTTATAAAGCGTTTTTCAGCGTATAATTTATTATGCATGTATACAATTAGATAGAAAAACTGAGTGGCTGTTTTAAATACGTGTCGTATGAATCATTGAAATTTTTTATTAGTAGTTCATTTTATACAGAGGTTTCTTTTCTCAGGGTCTCCAAACACGGAAATGAGACAAGTAAAACAAGCAAACTTCATAAAAAGAGATTAACATTTCTTGGTGAGTGTTGTCTTCTTATGAACTTAATATACATTAAGGGAAGGAAACAAGGTAGCAATATACCATGTAATATAGTAACAAAACAATATTTGTTGTCTTTTGTTATACTTAGTTCCTTTCCATACTTGAAGACTCTGAGAAGCTGTATGAAAATAACTCCTAAAGGCTTGTTCCTACATTAAATAGACAAATACAAGTGAAATTATTCATCTTTGAACGACCCATATCCGTAAATGTTTTGAGTAAAAGTAATGTTATGATAGTAATTGAATTTTACAAACAGTTGCACACTGATATCCTTATCGATGTCCCCATGTGGTACCTCCATTAAAAATCAGCTTACAATTCAGACATTGTCAGGGCTGTTAAGAGAAAAACACTTAAATTTCAAACTTAAATAAAAAAAACTTCAATCCATTCAATTTAACACCAAATATCATTTCTATATTTTTTATTTCATTTTAGCAGTCCAAAAAAAGCACTTCCTTCCATATGAAAAACTGCTCTTGGTGACATATCGACATATTTAAGTATCCTACCTTAAGTATCTTTGCAAACAGAACTCGAACATGCATATTCTTCTAAGAAAGCAGTATTACACTGACGGAATCTTAAATTATTTATATGCATTAAGATATGGCATTTTGTTTTGTGTCAAGCTGCTTGACAGACATTATTTAGAAGATTATGATATGACCATTTTCCTGTTGTTGTTTTTTGTTTGTTTGTTTTTGTTTCATAATTTTATTGCTATCTTTCTTACCCTAAGGCTATGTGATATGTAATTGTTAAATGGTGTAAGGTTCCAAGCTACACTAGAAATATGTAAGATTAAATGATAACATAAGAAGAACTTTTATAAGATGAAATATATGTCTTATGCAAATATTTTATTTTCAATTTGTTTTTATCTCAGACATAAAGCATATGTTTTCTTTATGTTTCACTTTTGCGAAATACATGATAAACTTCTCTAAAAAGTATGCACATGGTATAGTGACAAAATGAATGAAAAAAAAAATCATGACGCAATTTTTTTTAATTAGTTCCTTTGTACGCTTATAATTCCTCCTATATGTATCTGTAGCATAAGCTTGTAGAGATACTCTTACATACAAAGTAACACAAAAAACATAAAAACGAACATTTGTAATAAGTTCTTACATATTTAGGGAGACTTTTAAATGTAAATATTGCATATCAGCCCAACGTCCCTTTAGATATTTCATCTATAATTTTACAAAATTTAATGGAATTTGTATATCCAACCCAAACATAAATAACTTAATAAGAAATAATTGAATTTCCATGAATGAATGTAAAAACAAATATTGTTACTAATTCTACTTTGTTGCTCGTCGAATAAAAACTTCAATATTCTGAACATACTTTTATAGTATTATTGCATAAAATTGATCAATGCAACACGTCCCTAGAATTGTATTATTTTTGTGAAATTATGTTTATCCATGAAAATAATTTTTCATTTACTACGTACACTGTAAATATTTTCTTTTCTAAGGTTTGAATTTTAACTCAAGAGATCTTTCAGCTTTAAAGGATCAGTTATATGTGCCTTTCCAAAGGTGAAACATATATGTAGTGGCAAATGTATCTCCTTAAGGTCAGCGGCGGCCAACATTCCACTTTGAAATTGTAGTAGTATCAATTCGGCTGTGCCTCAGTGGTACATCCATTCTATCATCTTATATCATTATTTACCACTCTTCATAAAATGAGACATATCTTTCAATTTGTATGTGTATTGATATATTTTACCGCCAATTTGTTTTGTTCATCCTTTTCAAAAGTCTAAATGTATCTATGAGATCTTGTTTTCTATTGTTTAGCTCTAATAAACTAAGTATGTGACTTTGTTTCTTTGTTTGAATTTGGAAGACTTTTTCTAAGCAATCATCTACATTTAAACAACAATATACATGTTTAGAGAAGAGTTCTTTGCTGAAACAGTAAACTACTAGAACCTGCTTCTTTACACAGCAGGCACATAAGCTATATTTCATCTTATTGTATATTTGTGTAATTATTATGTATTTTTTGAAGTACAGCGTATGCGTCATTAAGTGACTAGTGAACACATTTTACTGTGAAAAAGTACTGTATAATTATGGACAAAGACATAGATCAGTTTGCCATTTATTAGTTATGTATGTAAATATATTCTGACAAGACAAATCAACACCAAAATAAAGTTTTTGGCATTACTTTCAATAAACATTGCACAGTAAAAGAGAGCAACATCGTTGTTATTTTGTTCATGACATACCATAATATCAAAATACTATTATTAAGAACATACTTGTCATGTTAAAGCCGTTTACAAAAGAATCTTGTGTTTTAATCATTTGATGCTCATACGGTAGTTTATACAGAACTTAATTTACTTTGATTTTGTTGTTAGCTATTAGCTTATAGACAAACTCTTGAATTCGTTACTGGAACAAACCAATTCTAAGAAATCCTCGGGATTTTATCCTACGTTAATAGTACACACAATATCGAATCATATCTTTGTCCGATTATTAATGTTAATGATTCAGTAGAGAAAACAAACATGACATCACGTGACAAGAAGTCGAGATGGCATGTGCATCATTTGAATTTGCATATAATTTGAGCTGGAACGTATTGAGAGTATGTATGTAATTTCCCAAACATGAATTAATAACCTTTGCAAGCATATAATTTATATAATTATATTTTAGATATATTTAAAACATGAATGAACAAACAAGACATGTTCATCATTCGATATTTTTCAAGACTAGAACTTTGTTTGCAAATTTATTTAAGAGTAAAATTTAACTGTTTCAATGGGAAGTAATTGTTAATGACAAATACAAATTTGTGACACCAGTTGTTCCAACAAGTTAAGGTAGATATATTTGTCAATCAGTAATGAAAACCACGTCAGTTAGTTACCCAAATCAAACAGCTTTACGTCTTCCATGTTAAATAATTGCGAAGTTTTAGATAATAATGATTAAAAAAAGGGATGCTTTCATTCATTTATAATTTGTTCACTTATACGTTGGCCACACACTCTACGTCTGAACTATTGTCTAAGTATTAAAGACTTAACCCGATTGAAATGGTTATGACTAATACAAATTAAGGTAATTATAGCAATGGAATAAAACACGACCATTCAAATAGCTTCAAATCCACGAACATAGCCTAACATAGCCTAGATAACATTTGCAGACATAAGGTACATACAATACGAGTACTTATTTCATATATAATCAAAATGTATATCGTTACAGATATGTTTGTGATATGTAATGTATGGAAAAAATGAGATTTTGAAAATCTCACTCTTAACATTGTTTCGGACTTATTGTCACTTGATATGAATACAATACAATCAAACAATATAGTTCAGATAAAATGACATTGTTTTAGATAAAAATGTATCAATTTCAACGCCTAGCCTTGCTTACTGTAACAAATAAAACTAATGCCTCGTGTATTTTACGTATATCTTGAAATAATGGCTTGTAACTTATGTATTGTTTTACAGATGGAACATAAAGATCACTTTAACACAATACAGTTACTTATTAGATTAATATGACCATTTTATGGAATAAAAATATATTCATAGCAAATAACTTGCTGTTGAAACATTAGTCGTTGCGCTTTGTGTTCCATTCATTTATTATGCACTTTCTCTTAGACATAGCTCGCATTTGTAAAGTGCAGACATTTTTTTTATAATTTTCTTCAAGGCTCACAACAGAGTACATTAATGAAAAATCAGTACCTGAGAAGGTACAGGCTTGTTTTTTTTCGGTTAGAAGACTAATGAAATATTTTTTTTTCTGTTTCCCTTCAGAAAAATAAAGCAATTTATTCAATTACTAACTTCAATTGTTTTAGTTAAAATAGTTATAGATTACCCAAGCATGTGTTGAACAAATATGGTACCACATACCAAACTTTATTTTATGCTTTTCAGTGGATTACTGATTTATCCGTGAAAATTATATTTGATAATTTCATAGTGAAAATTATCAAAATATAATTTCACACTTTTCAATGACGAAACTACTTTTTTAAGATTTTCCCCATGTGGCACCTCAATTTTATTTTTGCTGACTATTCCGACAATGTCAGGCTGTTTAAAGAAAAGCAGAGCTGAAATTGATAAATAACTTATATGTCACAAGTAATAAAAAGAAGAAAACTTACAGTAAGTTACTTCTATTCATTCAAGTTACCAATCACCAAATATCGTCTCTTTAATTTTTTGTTTAATTTTTACAGTCTGAAAAATACATTCCTTCCACATGCAAAACTGCTCTTGATGACATTTGGGAATATTTAAGTATCCTACGAGCAATAACTGCCGTATGCTTTATGAAAACTTGAAAAGCATTGGCAGCTTTCAGTCGAA